TTTATAAGCATTTACAGATCAAATGTTTACAAAATCGTGAAAATTGACATGGAATTATGAAATTGAAAATTCATAAAATTGTTGTGATTTATACCTATAAGGCTAAAAAACCCAACACAAGGTTCTCCATAACTTTTTCTTCAAATAACTTTAAAAAAKAATTCCATAGAAAATATTTTGTGAGCCTATACAATTTATATTTAAATATTGTATGCGTATAAAATATATTATAATTTAAAAATAGGTAATATAATATCCTAGACTGACAAAATATCATCWCCATTCAGAATCGTTTTTCGTATACAGTACTACCTGTCATTTCATTCAAATTTAATACATTCATATAGTGACCTACTCTCCATCTCTACTATACAGCAGAGCGATTTCCACTTGCTCACTTTTTTTCATACTTAAGTATCTTACAAAAAAGTCATAAGTTTGTGTTAACTTTAACCAGTTTGTCACTATTACCACTGTTTGACACATTACCTCTACAGTTTAAAAAATGATTACTTATTTTAAAGAAGTATTAATTTGCACTCGATATGTTCAATAACTAAAAAGTACAGACAAAAAGGTACTACTTTCTAAACTCGTAGTCATTTTGTTCTGCACTTAATAGTAAATATAGGCGTAGATTTAATTTAAAATGTCCTAAAATATAGATTTTACTAGATTTTATTTATTTTTTAATTATTTAATTATTTATATTTTTATATTAAATGTATTTTCGTATATTGTATAAGAATACACGAAAAATTAAATATTGTCTAATTTGCTTCGTTATTTTTTATTTCGTACCCTTGTTCTTAGCTTTTACTTGCACAAGATAAGCGTGGTAGCGACGAATGGTCTGACAAACGCTATAATACTTATGCAGTAATATGTAACGATATATTTTTAATTCAATATAGGCTCTAAGTATTTCAAAAATTATCAACAATTTTAAAAGAAACTTTATTTTAATTTATTTTATTTTATAAAGTAATCATTATATAACGTGAAATATTGTTAGTATTAATTGATGTTTAAAAATATAATGTCGGAAAGATAATTAATCAACACGAATTTAAGTAAATGGTTTTATACTGGACCAATATTTTGAGAGGTAACTATAGATATGCCTCAAGTCTCTCCACACCCCCTTCAATTTAAAATAATAAATAGAAATAAAATAGAAAACAAAAAAAGTTTTTATATTAAAATTGAATATATTATACAACTCTGACACTTGTGCACTATATTTACCAGCTATAAGATTAATTAATTGCTCGTTTGAAATTTGGTTTTTATAGATCAGAACACTTCAACTTTTTCGGAATATGAAATTAAAATGTACGCTTTCAAACCAAAAAGTAAAAATTTGGTATTGTCGTATTGATAATAATAGAAGAATATCATTTTATTTTAAAATTAAATTTCGAAAAAAAAAATATATTTAAAAAATGTTGATGGTTTTCAAAATTATAAATCCAAAAATATGTATAATTATACTATTAGATTATAAATGGATTTTTTTAAAATCATCTTTATTACAAAGTTTTTTTAGAAATTGGAACTCATTTTCTAAGGACACTTTTCAAATTTTGTAATATTATTATGATTGTATTATTGGCATTAATTCATTTGTCTAAATAGGTATTTATTGTATCTACTCTTTAGCAAGATTGCCCATTAGCTTATTTATATTTTTGTATCTATTAYGAGTAAAACAAAACCAAAAGGACACTTTTAGACACTATGAAATGTTTAAAATATTCAATTACATACGACGTTAGTGGTTGTGGCTCCTTGGTTCAGTTATATAGTGGCATAATAATTGTACGTAAGTGCAAAAGGTCAAATAAACGTTTATTGTATCTACCAACTTAAACCTACTAGAGTTTAGTTTTACATGTGTTTCTTATAACTAAAGAGCTCTCCAATGAATTCGTAGTACCGTACTTTTAACATTGAGCTATAGGTAACGTATGGGCGTCTAAAATTGTATTATTATTGATGTGTTAAATATATTTATGCATGTGAGTTAATTTATATTAAAAAGTTTACCTCTCTAGCAAATTAAAAGATAATAGTTTTCAATTATAAATTTATAAATTATCGTAAGCTTATACATTTTTGCTAACTAAAGTGATACATCTAATTTTTTTTAGTCATAAAAAATGATGTTGTCAACTTATAATGTTGACTGTCGAAAAATGTTCTAAGTAAAATTAATGACAATATTTAACTGACATTCTAATAAAAATTTACGGGCTTGAAAAATATCCAGCGAGAATATGTTTGTACTCCACAAATTTGTTTTATCGGCTTCTAACTCTTATATTAAACATATTATTATATTTTGTTTGCTGTGAATGTTTAAAGAAAGCATTTATGACGTTCGAAATTTTAATCACAGGATGTATCATATTATACATCGGTTTATCGGTAGTGATTATTATAATTTGCAGTTCTTACAAAATATCAACAGTTATTATATTCATACGCATACGTTTTATCAACTATTTATTCTCTCGCTGTGTATTTTTATATATTTTGATCATCTAAAGTCAATTTTAGTTTTTGGTGCCTTATTCTTACTATAAAATATGTGTACGTCTTTGTAATATTATCATTTTTTAATAAGTGTGAAATCATATTTCGTAGAACCATTATCAACCATTCATTAATCATTTATTTATAATTTATTCATTGGCTTCCATGATGGTAATACGTTACTGAATTCTCAAGTTAGTAAMATTATTTTATTACTACCTATTGATATTTAATAATTATTTTATAAAAGTGTTTACATAGTATATCGGTTTTATTGTACCTAATATATTATTTACTATGCCGTGTTTATATTTGCATATTTGTATATATGTATAAACCTTGTATGTTTTGCATCCAAATTATTTATTCACGTTTATGGTGGCTGAACCTATATTTGGTCATTTGAGTTTTCAAACATATCAGAATAAAAATTGTAATCAAATATCCGGGTTATCGGTTAATATTGCCATACAGATGATAATAAAACGTCTCGACCGCATGTGTTCTCGCCATCTTATGAACCATCAAGAAAAATATAACAAATTAGCTTTCAGCAGAAACAATTTTGTGTTGTTAAATATTAGAGTGAAATGATTAATGATCTAACTTAAAAAGTGGAACATAATTTGTGTTAGCGAGTGGTTTTTTGTCACGCTACTTACTTTAATTTTTAAGAAAATGTTAGTGTGTTTAAAAAAACAAAATTCAAAAATTTTCTATTTTGTATATTAAAATTTGTAAGACGGAAACAACACATGCAGGTAGACACACTGAAATATACTAATTATCTAGGAAACATTAAATTTTTGAATTGCAAAATATTAAGTACCTATTTATTTTATAAGATATTTTTTAGAATTTTCTTTATGATTATAGAAAAAGATTGTTTCACTTGAAAAATAAAATATATTCTTTGTTTATCAATAATTATTCTTAAATATAAAAAAATTTAATTAACGGTAAAAACATAAAAACAATGTATATAAAAGTGTTAAATAGTTTGGTAATATTGTTAAAAGTTTTAATGTCAATGTATTGAAAATAGTGAAAAAGTTGTATATTATAAGTACCTACAGATGTTAATTTTTTTACCAACCTATAAAAATTGAATTTAAATATTAATATATTTAGAACGCACTATAAATTTGCCGTGTAAAAAAGTTTAAAAATCATTATATTAGGAAACAGAGGGTTTAAAACGTATTAATAATTTATATTTCAACGAACAAAATTAACGTAATTAATTTAAATATTTTAAAATGCCACTTGCTTTGTATCTATATTGGCATGAAATAATGTTTAAAGTTATCTAAATTTGTTTTTTTTTTTTTTTTCATAGCCAATGATGTCAAATCCATGTATTTTAATTTTGTTCATTTCCTTAAATACATTTCAGGCCTGTTTGACTATTTTCCGATATCATGCATGATGGTATCAAAAGTTTGCATCAACTAGTTTAATAAACTGGAAATCCTTTAGTTTTAAGTTAACAACCTCGAATAGAACGAGTTGAACCTCTTCGTAGTGGACACCCACCAAGGTTGAATTGAACAGCAGGTTTTTTCCCTCGATAAGAATTAACTTGAAATTGTATGGTTAAACTATATCGAGTCCTAGTAGTAGACTACTAAATTCAATAAGAGATTTAACATTTCCATGTTTCAGTAGCTTACTTAAATTCACTATTCACTCATATGTAATTTACTCCTCATATGTTTAATAATAATAATAATCGAGAAAACAAATTGTTATTCTTTTGACCATTGGACTTTTTGTTTTATATTGTGTTTACTTATGTGAAAACGGCCGAACGCTCTCGGTTGTACATCAGTGTGCCAAGGGTGAATATATTTGATTAAATCATTTGCTTAATTTTCAAAATCGAAATCTTTTATTAATGTAACAAAATATTCACGAACGTATATAAAATGTATATGGTTCAATGAATTAAAAATGTTTTATTTGTTTTTCTTTATTGCGCGTGAGTATTTATTAAAAATATATTATACTTTAAAAGTGTTTTATACGGGTAAAAATGTGCCAGAAGAACCTGTACTAGAAATTTCAGGTTAGTTTAGAAATAAAGTATCGTATTCAATTTAAATATTATCGAAATAAATTTATCTCCAATATCACATAATGTACATTATGTCATAACACGGTGAATGTATTWTTTATGCAACACGATTAAAATATAATTAAACTTATTTAAGAAGTCAAGWTATTATAATACAGTTATTGGGTTTGAAATATTTGGATTGTTAGGACATACTTGATCTGCTAGATTTAGTGCTAATACTATGTACCTATTATTATTTGCTTAATATTTTTATTTAATAAATGGTTGTATTTTGAATAAGGGAAATCATTAAGTAGACCCCGGTTTATAATGATAAAAAATAGTTTAAACAGCGGGATTACTATAGTCGATCAAAAATGTATTATATAATTTTATAGTAATATGGTATATAATATGTATATTATAATATATTGTATAACATATTGTATAATGCGTTATTTTTAACACCAAGACGAGGAAACGTCTTTTAAATTTATTTTATCTAGTGTATTATCATTTATCAATATAATACGAATTAATATTTGATACATTTTTCAGCTTAAAATCCAAAAAGTGTATCGTCGAAATTTTTAAACTGTTGTCGTAATTAAATAATAAGTTTTAGTTAATTTTTCTAATTTCATTGCAATTAGATATAATTAAATTTGTTAGTACCTACTTATTAAATTAAAATTAAACTCAACATTTTTAAAATATGATATTTTTATTATAGAATAATAAAATAAATTATTTAAAGTATGCGATTTTTAGGAAGTTTTATAATAATGCATTATTTTTTTGTGCACTATCCTAAACTAAGTACACATACTTGTTTAATTTATAATCAGTAAAGATATAATTTGTTTAGAGATATTACATTTCTTTATTATTCAAAAATTATTTTTCTTAAATCTTTATCAGTTAGTTATAAATATAATTAAAGTAATAATAAAATTATTATATTATATAAATAATTAATTATTATTACATACATTGTACTATTACTAAATAAAATACAATTAATACTTATCCAAATTGACCAAATTAGATATACCTATCCTAGATTTGTTTGTAATAAAAATATTGTACTTTTTGTAAGTGAACATTTTACTAGGTATTTAGTATTATAAATAAGATAATTAAGATATAATAAATTATCTATTTATTTTTAACTATTGAATACGTGCAAAGCGTGTACAATAAAAAGTTTATAATATTACGTAATAATATTATTCTTGTAACTAATTTTTAATTATATTACTGCGTCGATGTACCATGATTGAAATTTTCAAATAATTTTTTTTTTACGCCTGTTAAGGTAGATGACATTGACATAACTTTCTTTTCACGCACATCCGCGATTAACTATTAAGTTGTTTGATTTAATTCTCTCCTTCCTAGGTACTAATTCATTTCATAGTATTTTAGATTCTGAGCGGCGCCAGGAATATAATATTGGTTTTACAATGATATTTATTTCTTTTTATTTTCTTTTTTATTCTGTAAACACTTTTTCTTCCTCTAAACTTGCTCAAAAGTATCAAGTGTAGCATATTTTCTGAAAGGTTATGTTCTTGAGCTGGTACTTTATATGCTGGTACTTCGATTTTCGAAACGGTACTTGAAATAGAAGAGGTTAAAAGAGAAAAACCGTACGATTTCACGATTTTATATTATTAAATAATTACGGACGACGTTTTTTAATTTTTTTTTTGAAATTATAACAATATAATTAATATAGCATATCCTCGACTGATAAACCATCTCCACTCAGAATCGTTTTTCGTATACAATGATATTACATAATTGAATTCAAATTTAATACCATCCATTACAGTAAACCACTTGTAACCTACTGTACTTTAGAGCTACATCCACTTACTTACCCACTTTTTGACCATGACATGATTATTATTTTAAAAAACCGACACGATGTAAGGGCTATTTAAACTGAAGAATGGGTACCAGCTTATATTTGATAATCAGATAATCTAGATTTAAAAAATCCTAATAGTTAAATATATAAATATTTTTAGTATCAGTAAATTATACAAAGATAAAGTGTTATTTAATTTATAAAATAGTCATTTAAACTCTGGCCAAGTAATATGTGTTTTCAATTTAATACATTGTTATAAGAATACCTAAAACATACAAATATGAAACAATTGTTTTAATTTATTATTATATTTCGATAAATTATATTTTTCATAATAATTAAAGCCAACCTAAATCGGCTAAATCTTAAGTAATTCAATAATTTATAAATACAATTAATAAAATTATTATAATATCATTAGGTAGGTACCTATGATTTTAATATAAATGTATAGGTAGGTAATATCCAATAAAAATATTATTAATATATTTTTGTTTATTATTAGTTATACCTATTAAAGTTAACTCGTAAGACATAGTGTATACAATATGCGTATATATTATAAATATTGTGTAATAATACATATTTACATTTTTTTTGCATTGTTTAAAGATGGTTATTTGTTATAATATACAAAAAATATGTTTTACATCTTACCAGCGTACCTATTGAAATACTTATTTTAATAAATTGTTATTTATCATGCATAGTTAATGGGACGCACATAATTATTTATATAGTAATTATATTTGTAGGACCTAAATTTATAAGCATTAACTATAAATGTATACTTAATTTATGAACTGTAATATATATATTTATCACTTTTTGTTAGAATTGTCAGATAATATTTTATTCTGTTTAAGAGATTACATTTTATTAAATACATAAATTTAAAAAAAACTACTACTAATTACCCCCTGTTCTATGATGGTTGTAAATGATAATTGAATTTTTTTTTCAGAGAGTACAGATTGCAATAATTCTGAAGAAGCTGTTATAATTGATGATAAGATGAGTTCCGAAACTAGTGGTGGTGTGAATTTTATTGTCGGTGACGAGGATGGTGTCGATCAAGCGCCTACTGAACTCGTCAATGGAGATTTAATGAAAGCTTTAGAAGAAGAGAAACACGAAAATACTGATTCTTTCCCTTTAGATAAAGAAACACGTATGGGTGTAACATCTAATAGCAGCTCTTATAACAACATGTTTGGCTTAACGGAAAAGAGGAAACGATTAAGGTATCTAATTTATTTACTTTTATTATAATATTATATYTATAATACTTTGTTAACGGTGTACATTTTAATAACGTGACTTATGTTTGTCATTTAAATTTCAAGTGTCACTTAAACAATTTTAACTGTGACTTGCTTAATTTATGCGCAAATTATACATTATAATCTTAAAACGCATTCGTAAAATAAAAAAACAGCATTTTATACTAATAATTATTATAGATGTGAATAGCATTTTTATGAATTTTGTCCATTATTCAAATTGAATGTTCCTACAAAATTAAGCATGTCGATTCAAATAACTGGAAAGCTAAATAATTTTGTTTTTCAAAATAGTACAATCTGTAAAAAATTAATTCATATAAATTATTAATTTATTATCTAGGAGTATCTAGAGTAGCCTGATTTATCTGGTATATTATTATCATGTGATACAAAATTACAAACCCTATATAAAATTAATGCATTTAAATATTTGTTGATTCGTTAATCATTTTCAACTTATTTTATGGATGAATTTTAAAACTTATAGCAAATTAAAATGAATCGAATGTGCATAATACATATAATATTCCATTATTGATAAAACTTTTAGATTATCATTTTTATAACTTCCGTTCAAGTTGTACATTTTAAGTCAAAGGTAAGGAAGCTTTCGTTTTATAATGTTGGATATATTTGTTTTTACACTAATAATGGTTAAAAGTTATATGTATAACGATTAGAAAATCGATTATAAATTATACTGTACGGTATACAACATTATTTAATTTGAAACTTAATGTTTTAAATTAACAAATATTATCTTATACCTTTGCTTTACAATTTTTTTTTATGGCAACAACTACAACTATATGTGGTTGTTTGATTTTAACTAACATTTTAGTTACGTATTATAGGTATTTTTTAAGTGGAAGTCTTACGTTTCATTTTAAGATTTCTATATAATTTGATGTGTTCTTTCTTAATTTTCCAAGTATCACTTTAGTGAAGTAATCATAAAGACAATAGTCAACATTAATATTTTTATTTAATATAATATCTTACACTTCTTAAATTATTGACTCATTTTAAAATTATTAGCGTTTTTACTTAATCAATATATTTTGTTTTATTTTTAGAACTTTATTTGATAAAAAWTTGTTTCAATTATATTGATAAATTATAATTTAACTTCTCAAAAATAAGTTTACTCAAACCTTAGTCAATATGTGAAGAATTTAGTGGTTTTTTTCTAAATAAAATATTTAAAATTATGATGGATTTTACTAATTTTATAAAGTATTTGAATTTATGTAGGGCAAAATTATTTTGAATGAACTAAAAAATTAGAATACCTATTATTGGTTACTTTCTTTCTTTAATAKAATTAACTTCTTCATAATTCGTCCTGTATTATGGAATCTATTTTTTTTAATAGTATAATGCGATTGTTGAAAGACGAAAATAGTTCAAATGATAACTATTATGACATAATTACTAAAAGTTCTAAATATTTTCACATTAATTGAAGCAACAGTTTTCTTATGCAGTTATATTTACTGATAATTTTCTATATCTAATAACATTTAAATACTGTGTCATTTTGTTTGTTTCGTTCATTCGTTTATGAGTTTAATAAAAGTATACGAGTAAAATATAAAGTCCCTATAATCGTAACTGGTAACTGCAATAACAGTATAAYACATTATATTATTTGATCACGAAGTGTGATGTTACGTTAAGAAAATAAATGTTATTATGACTTGAAATAACGACTGTGTGCCAGCATTGTCGTCTTAAAAAAAAAAAAAAGTTCGCATTTATCCCTCTAATTGTTATTATCTATATAACCGTGCCTAATGTGTGTAAATAATATATTAAAATATGTATTGATACTTGTTGTAATTCTGAGTTGTGACCGTAAAACTTGTGGTAAACTAGTCAGCTGTTACATGTCGAGCGAGTTATTGTCCAGCTGAAGCTAATACGATCTACTAGAAAAAAATTAAATCGTAATTTCTGCTCATAGTACCGGAATAGCTTAATAAACTTTTTTATCGTATTTGCTTTAAACCATTTTACAGTATAAGAAAAGTATGAATAATTTTATATGTGTTCTAAATTATAAAATAAAAACAGTAGTTTTAAAAAAAGTGAATTRATCGTTCCCTTATCCAGGCAGCAAGAGCTTATAACATTTTTAGATTTTCACGGTCAATATGCTAAATTATAAACATTCCTAAACATAAGTTTGGATTCAATGATTACATTTTATTGGTCTATCTTTATTTCCAGAAATTAGGTAGTCACACTGTTATGGCAATGTTATAGCATAGCCTATTTCGTTCAACTGAATAAATTTTGTGTTGTTAGTTTAAACTAGTCTATTRTCAAACTTGGTTTTAATTTAAATTGAGTTATAAGTTTGMAGGAATGTAAAATATTACATTTTTTATGTGCTCATAAACTTCTTCAAAATTAAAATATCAATAAATAATATTTGGTGCGTTAAAAGACTAAGACAGCAAATACATAATCCTAGGCTAAAATATTATATGCATCTATCCAATAATCGATGTTTTAGTTGTAAAATGCYGTTTTTTACAAACTAAATTTAAAAATATTTAACGACTTAATTAACTTTATTGATTTTTAAATTAAAAAAGTGGGTAAGTGAATGTCACTCTGCTGTTCAGTAGTTACAAGTGGGTTACTGTTATGGATGGTATTAAATTTCAATTCAATGATATAATATCATTGTATACGAAAAACGATTCTGAGCAAAGAAGGTTTGTCAGTGTAGGATATTTTATAGTTCTATACTATATTAATTATGTTATATATTGCTATATTATTTCAAAAAAAAAAAAAATACAAAAAAAATGTAGGTAGGTACCTATAAAATAAATTCCAAATTATATCTAATTCATAAATTATGTATCCGACTCACTCAGTCATTCATAGAATATAAAATATTCCATAAACTATAAAGTRTTAATATAATTCATTAACGAAATTAACTATTACCATTATAATTTAAAGTATACTCTAGACATTTCAAGTACCCACGAATAATATTTTTAATTTACAATAATACAACTAAAATTGTTATTCTTAGTTATTTAATATGTAATTTCATCCGAATTTGAACTTAAAAATAATTATAAAAAAAAAACTGTATACAAAATTGTAAAAATATATTATGAGCTTTGTATTAAAATTTTAAGCTTGTTTGCCGAATGAATACAATTTTATTGTCATTTATAAAAAATAAACTAAAAAAATTTCAAATTTCAAATTACTTTAAATAACTTAAAAAGATTTGAAATATTTTGAAATTTTATCAGGTATAGAAATTTACAGTATAAACATTTAGTAAAAATTTCATATATCTATAATAATTGGTTTTATAGCTACACTAATATCTAAAATCGATTTCTCAAAAATTTATTTTGCGTAAAAATTCCTGTTTTTCCTTAATTTTTTTTTTGTTTTTCTCGGTGCTTTTGAAAACTACTGGGAATTTCAAATGCTAATTTGACCAATGCTCTAACTAGATTCACACTCCAACCGGAAATGCTTTTGAAGCTGAAAATTGAGGCATTATTTCGACAACTTATCGTGTACACAKATACAATATTGTAAAATCAATACATTTATCCCTTCGCTCAGAATCTAATATAAAATAACTAATAATTGTAATATCAAGGGCGGCGATTAGCGAGGAGCGTAGAGGCTAACTAGTAACTATAGACATCGTAAACCACCTATTAGTAATAATTTCTTTCAGAAATCTGTGTAGAAGTTAATAGTGTTCATATATTATAAATCACAGTCCCTGTAGATAGAGTTGTGCTCTTACTTTAAGTGGTCAGCAGACAAATAGTTAAAAGAAGAATTTTATTTGGATCAAAAAGATTTTGCTCACCCCCCTAAAATTAATTAAATCCGCTTCCGATTAATATAAAATATCATAATATTTTTATTTTATATACATAAACGTAGCAGAAGTCTTAATACATTAAATGGTATATTTCTATAAGACTATATGACGTTATATTGTATTACGTTATCTTATGATGAAGTTATATATACCAATTAATTATATTACATAATAATATATTATGTCTAGTAAAAATTTCAACAGACTTTTTATGTATAATAGATTACCTGTATAGCAAACAGCCTGGTKTGGTTGTATTTGTGGCTTAAATTCGATACTTCTATACTTGATTTTCCGTATACGCAATCTCAAACATATCCCGTCGTCGAAATCGGCTGCAGCTTTGCTGTGTAAAACAGCCCGTGTCTTTTAGAGAGTAGTGGATACCGCTGGTTAAGTAAGGTGCTGTGGATTCGAGATTTACATATTATTATTTATTCGTTTCCTTGTCATATCTCGCCGATGACACCCATCGAGTCGAGTAAGTATGTAAATGATAATATATTATTACACTATATTATGACTTCCGACAGTGTGCCATAAATCATCAATACTGCGTTGCAATATTGTGTATCTAGTGGCTGGTTGCATACAATATTTATACATTATTTTTACGTTATCGATTGTATATAATTAAATATTATTGTGGTTTCACACCTCAGTCTTTTACTTCGCTTTCGACTGTTTTACGTGCGCGCGAATGTCCGCTTGTCATTTGATTTTGCGTTTACTTTATTTCTTGTGTTTTCTGCGTCGCAGTTGTGTTAATCTACTGTTTGTGAAATGTGAATACTCGTGAGAACGCCGCTACTATTAGTATACAATATGTCGATACAAGTACCCAGGTTGTTGTATTCTCACTTAAATTATTAATTACTTTGTACCAATCACATCGGAAACCTTAAAACAATAATTAATTAATTTGCTCACGCGCTGCTCAACAATCGTAAATTAGTGTATTTCGTATCCCACACATTATCCGACCCGTCTGCGCGTTTATCATAATTCAAGATATAATTTTCTCGATTTCTCACGTGTCGTTACCCGTGTATTATTAATAATAATATTCTGGTAAAGT